ATAGCTCTGGAAGCACCTCAGAGTGGGGAGCTGAACCCTCACCTGAGCTAATGTCTGCATAGGAGACAGACTTCCTCTGGGTCTTCAACAGCTTTTAGGCATGCACAGGGTAGAAAACCTCTGAGCCTTGTGGGCCTGTACACAGCAGGGCCAGAGTGCAATGTGGTAAGTGCTCTTATATTCCCGTTCTTATCTCAGGGGGCGTTTTAATAGAGTCTTCTTATTCTTTCTGTGAAATGATTTGTGAATTGCTGTGCAATCAACTGGCAACAGTGTCTCTGCTGGGTCGATATGATTGAAGGTAGATGCCTGAAGGGAATGAAAACCAAGTTTTGACAACCCTTTCACAGAGGGTGTCTCATCTTCAGTACACATTCCGAATTATAGTTCACTGATTTCTCAGTGTTGCACAAGTTATTTTTTCTAACAGGACCAAACAATAAGATGAAGGGCAGATGTCTTAAATCACTGCAGTAACTTCCTTGATCACCCACTGACTAACTCAGTAGGATGGGGTTTTCTGAAGCACTTGTCAGTCTCCCAGACCTGGACTGTTTAAACAACTGTTCAGCAGACTTGAACAAAAGCTCTTAAGAAATGCAGAGATCTTCTCAACTTTCTCAGCCCTCCTCTCTGCTGTTTTGCTATTGCTTCTCACTACATCGTATCTACAAACCTGCCAACATCCGCTGACAAAAAAGCAGACATGTATTTGCATGTGTTTGAATAAATTTGCATGTATCTGGGCATAGGCCAGCAAAAGCATGTGCTTTCTTACTTTTAAGGGATGTTTCAACAAGCCCTGAATTGAGTGATAACTGCATTGGTGAGTTGGTACTGTGTGTCAAGACAAAATGGTCAATAAAATACTTGTTTCTTGAACTTGCTAGCAACAAAACTGTAAAACTGTGACCAACATGTGGCATGTGATGCACTAGGGAAAATGTAAAAAGCTTTTTGCCATCTAGCAATGTCTATGAGATGACAGAAGCCCTTTTGCAGCAAGTGAAAAAAAATACATGAGCTGTTTTCTAGAGTGGCTTATCTCTTTATTATTTCACCTCCCTGCTGTTGGATGTTTTAACACAGAGCAACGTTGTCAGTGGCTTGTAGTCTGTAAACATCACCATCTCCAAAATGTCAGGAAAAATATTGGTCTGGAGAGGGATGGACGTGGCTTCATTCAAAGCATCACTCTGACAGCCTGTGTTACTCAGAGTTGATAGATGAGATTTGCAGAGGGAAGATCCCATGACCGACCCAGGAAAAATTCGTTCTCTCTACAGGCATGTCTGTGTTCAGCTTCCCAAAGCTCACACATTAGAGGCCTGCTCTGAAACCAGCCACAGTCAATAAGCTGTTCATAGTGTCTTTGGGCTGGATCCACAAGGCAGTTGGAGGCTGCTGCTTCCCCATGCATGTAAAGCACCTTTCCCTGTCAAGCCAGCCAGTTCCTGGCCTGTGTATCAAGAAAATCCCTTTTAAGGCTCAAAGGTGGCCTCAGTATTATGTCTTCTGTGCTGGCGTGAATTTCATTGATTTGAGCAGCATCTTAGTTCATAGTTAACCCCTCAATTTTTTATGACCATTTCAGGGGAAATGTACCTTTTATAACTTTAGCAGTACTGGCAGCGTGCGATACCCTTTTATTTGCACAGTTTATCTCTTCCTACCTGTGGCTTTGGATAAGTTGCTAATAACAAAGGCTTGTTATCACCAAACAAATGTTCTGAAGTGGGACCATAGAAAAATCACCAGTCGGTTGGCAAGGAAAACTTTTTGATCAAATACTCTGTGCAACCGGTAAAGAACCTGAAAATAAGAACCTTTTATTTTCTGTACAACAGTGGGTTACTTCTGGAGTTATTCATGGCTTTTGTAAGAATGGGGTGATCCTCACTTTTGTGTAAACATGTGTTTATATAGGCTGGGAAAACTTCACCTGGCGGGGACTGATGAAATGCCAATTCCAGTAGTGCTGTGCCAGCTCTGTTGGAGATATGACCCAAGCTACTTTCCTTTAACCCTCCCCCACCTTTTTATTTTCAGGGGAGAAGGGGGGAATTAAGAGGGGGAAAGAATATGTTCCTCGTGGCCAGCAAATGCACAATCAGCCTTTGAATAGTCCTCCTCTGTTGGGTTTTTTTTTCCTTTCTTGTGTCAACAAGACATCATTGTGTCAACAGTCAGCAAGCTTTTACTTGCACTGCATATGTCACCTGGAGCTATTGACATGGAGTTGGGAAACGGTGTCTAAAACATGTTTGCAGCTCCTGGCATGGGGGATTGCAAAACAACTGGAGAAAGAGCAGCAAAGAAATAGGAAGAGGCTGCAAGGGATGGAGGACAGGGCTCCTTACTTAATGGAAGCTGTTAGAGTCCAGAGACCTCAGTGCATAGAAACATTTTGCTGGAAATATCCTTGTCCCAACAGAGCAGTTGGTAATTTCAGAGCAGCTGGTCCCATGCAGCATGAGACCAGTGGGTGTTAAATATCTGCTGTCTCTAAGAACACACTGCATGCTCCCATCTCAGGACCTCAACCGCCTGTGAGACCTCGTAAGTGTGGAAGCTTAGTGGTGAGACCAGACTAGCCCTTTGATAGACAGCTTCCCCGACTGGAGAGGTGCTTTTCTTGCCTGGGCCAGGCAATATCCAAGAGGCAGGAATAAGAATGGGGCGTAAGGTAGTTTGTAGCGCTCATGCTCACACTGCCATTCTGAAGTGGTCATGCCTAAACAGCAGCCATAGGTTCAACGATGGGCTCAACCTCTCCACGGCACACCAGTCTGCACAGAGCGGTCCTCTTTGGAGATGCAGTGTAATCACTGATAGCTGTACAGATCTATACCACCATATAATGATAAATGTGCAATTTGCTGATAATGTCCTAGATTTAGAAATCCACCTGATGCGGAGGTGAGAGATATGCTGTTAGACTGTAACACTTGACTTCCTTGCCAGCACTGTTGTGTAGAATAGGATACTATTAACCTTGCTGTAAAACGTGTTAATGTGAGCACTCTCCTTGTTGAATGCTTATTTACCTTTTTGACACGTTCTTTCCTTTGCTGTATGACAACACCTCTTCTTGGCTCTGTTAAGATTGGGCCAACGTTGCCAACCCATGAGGAGGATGTGGTCACCCCGTTTCCACTAGAAGCCTTGAATATCTTGCCTCGATCTTATCTTCTTGTGGCTCTTTCATGTTGGTGGTAAGGGGCTTTGACGTGTGGCTAGAGGTGTGCCCAGTCCTCAAGCAGCAGGCAGAAGCCAGCACTGAGCAAGCTGTGGAGCAGGCTGGGGCAGTAGAAGTGTAACCCTCGCTTGGGCCAGCGCTGAGACTGATCAGGTAACAGCAGGGGGGAGGGGAAGATATTATCTAACGTTGTCAAAGTATTTTAAAGCAAGTTTTGGAAAAGCAGCTGCTGCCTTACATAAGGTAAAAGAAACAGATGCTGGAAAGGTACAGTTATCGCTGTGTAATCTCTTTGTCTACATGGCAAAAATGAAATGTCGTGTCCAGGGACCTGGACTGGACATGCAAAAATGCCATTTTTAGCTCGTACAGAACTTGAAGTAAAGAGAACCCTGGAGGCTGCATGGGAGATAACAGCTCTGTTTTCTTATGAGGGTGGGGATGAAGGTTGAAATAACTGGCATTATATAAATATAGAAATAGTTTTTAAAGTCTCATTAAAGAAATGTTATGCTTAGTTCTTCATAGATTTCACAGGGTGAGGAAATCTTGGCTGGGTTTTTTGGTAGAATGAAGGAAAGTTCCCTATTTGCCAGCCAGATATGTGTGTCCATTGCATCCTTGGCCATATGGGTAATTTCAGCTCTGGGGAGAGGAAAGCTTTTCAGTTAACTGTAGAAGTGTCTGGAGGAGAAAGTGAGCATACAGCTAGTTAAGTTACATATTTGTCATCACAGGTGTAGTTAGGTTTTTTATTTGTGTTGTAGTTAATATGGAGAGATGTTTCTTTCTTTCCAGTCTGGGTGCTCAGCTGAGAAACTGGTGGCTTGGCGGTCTGCCTCACTGAGTGCTATTAAAAGGAGGTGAGACACAGTCTTAGAAAGGTCTGGGTTTATGCAAGAAATAGGGAATCCTCAGGTATGATAACTCTCCCATTATTTACCTTAAAAAAAAAAAGCTCCTGTTCAGTTGATTATGCTGAAAGGTGGAGAAAACCTGATATCAACAGACCAAACTATACAAAGGGCTGCTGAACTACATCAGCCTCTCACTGAAACTCTGCCTTCACAGGGAAGCTGGTGTTGAGCAGCAGCCAAGGAAGTTTGGCACTGAATTCAACCTCTGTGCAGGCCTGAGAGGCCTTTCTGGCACATGACCCATGGGCTAAGCCCTGAGCTTGCATGGAAAACACTGGTTTTCCTTTTCTGCAAGAACCAGTGCCTACGAAGGTACAGATCCATCTCAGAGCAGGGTGATGCACAGCTTTGTCTCTGTATAGTGTGCTGGGTACTGAGATACATAGAGACTTTTTAGAGTTTTTATCTGCTGGAAGGGGTAAGCAAGACCCTTCATACTGCTGAGTAATTGCTCCTTGTATAGCTTGCTGAAAGTCTCTCTTCCTCACCTTTGTGAGAACAAGGCCAGGATCCTGGATCATTAGCAGAAGAAAAAAGCACTGACATTTAGGATATGAGGAATAAACAGCCTTCAGCATGCATATCAAATTATTTATTTGTATCAAAAAGAAGTGGCTTAATGACATGTGTTTGGTAAGGCAGCTTAGGATTTCTTTAAAAAACAACAACAAAAACAAACAGAAAAAAAACCACCAAACCACCACCACAACAGCAAAACACCTCTGACCATACAAGACTGGAGGACTAATGTAGTGATAACGTCATGTAGAAAATGTGTGAGTAGTGAAAAATAAACTGGACTGTGTTAGGCAGCGCAACTTTGCATAGTTCATGGGCAATTAATATGATTTGGATACAGTGGATGTGTAAAACCACAGTCCCCATTAGCTATAGCAGATGTCACAGTTCCTATCCCTTCTGAAGAAGTCATCAGCCATGGCCATGGGGGGTAGGTAGTCCATGCAGTCCATGCTGGGGCAGGGGAAGTACTGCGGGACCCTGTTGTCCACATGCTGGGAGCCACAGGCGGTGCGGCAGCAGGCAGAGGTGGTGTATGGGGAGGGTGTATGGGGAGGGGGTATGGCAGGACCACCGTTCCGCAGGGTAGCCACAGGTCTTGGTGTCCAGAGCAGAGGGTGGGCAATGGGTCAGTGGGGTGAAAGGAGATAGCTGAGGAGGAGAGCAGCTGTAGTTGAATGGGCTGGACAGATCAGCTGAACTGGGGGATCCAGCAGCCTAGAGTTTGAAAGAGAGAAAAAAAAACAACAACAACAAAAACCACCAGGATGTTTCAGGGTGTCACTTGGGGAAAGGTGGACAGCAGCCAGAATTTCCACACCATTGCCTTCCTCAGGAGGGTCTGGCTACCCAGGGAGATGGTTCGGCCCTTGGAGGCCTAAACCCCACAGGCAGTTCCTGTGACAGTGTTAGTAGGGAGCGAGTTAGACAACTGCTAGCAGGAACTGGACTATTCTTTGCAGGAAATCTATAGGTTCTGTAGAAGGGACGTTCCATATTCTGCAGCCTCTCTCTAGGTTTGGCTGGCCCTCCCTGTCCTCTGCTCCCAGTGGGAAACCATGCAGAAGTCCACACAAGCAGCCTGTAGTGCTGTGGCTGCCCCCATGCCCCTAAAAGCAGCCACATTTCAAAATCAGCTTGCTGCTGTTCTACCCCAGGATGTGACCCCTTCCCCATCTTCCCTCTGAGTGCACCTCTGGCTGCTCCCCTGGGACACAAAGCTTACCAGGCCCTGGTTAAAGCAGAGTGGGACTGGCTGGAAGGCGTCTGAGGTGTAGTGTGAGGATGTCTGGAAGGCACTGAAGGCTGGGTCTAAAGGCACGTCTGTCTGAAGACAGGAATCTACCAGCTGCTCCAAACTGCTAGGGCTTTCTTCGCAGGAGAGGCAATTTGAAAACTGCCATGATGGGCAATAGTTGGGAACAGAAGAGATGGGTTCTGCATCAAAAGGTGCTAGGAGAGAAGGTAAACCAGACAGTAGATTATTCAGTATCTGCCTTCACAAAGGGCAGGTGTTGCCCCAGGTCATGTTTCAGTACTCTCACATGTTTGGTAGCCCTATGGATTTAGACAAGGAAAATAGTCCTTCAAGTTCAGGGTGAATTATCTAGGGAAGCAGACACCAGGAGGAAGATGCCCAAAGGCATGCAAATAACTTGGGAACTTTATAGTCACTTTTGAAAGCTCCAAAGCTCTCTAAACTCTTCTGGCTCCAGCCATTTTGGACAGGGATCCAGCTGGAAACTCCCTCAGACTCTTGAACCTCTGGCCTCCCTTCAAATGTCAATTGTTTACAGACCTAGAAGCTTGCCATGCAGTGATTTTTTCTTCACAGCTTGGCAGATGGCTTGCGCCTTTGCCTCACCCAGTCTCCAGATGCTGGGTAGCTACACCTGCAGGGAGAAGGGGATAACAGAAGTATAATTTGCTCTTTTATCCTCCCAACAGCCAGGCAGGAGGCAAACTTCTGAGCAGACAAAATGGAGCAAGTAAGTGATAAAGTAGCACTGTGTTCACGTGGCATTACTGGCAAATGCAAGAGTTCCTAGAAAGCTGCAGGGTCAGAATCCCACTGCTGCAACGTGCTTGCTGGGCACATGAAAGCTCACAGCAGATCTGACTTTTAAGAATTATTATCTTTTCATGCCGTGTTCGGATATGGTTAAAAGCAAAATCCTGTCCACATGGAGGGTCCCAGGTATGAGGGCAATGGAACCACACGTGGGTAGAGAGTCACTCAAAGTCGTAACTGTTTGCAGGTTCAAGTGTTTAGCTGGATGTGGGAAGGAAGTGAGAAGCACCCAAAATACATAAATAGATGGGAAACTCTCCAGCCTGAAAAAGCTTTGGTATGTCTCACGCTTCTGTATTAACATAAGCAAATGATTCCCAAATATTGATGATCTAATCATTTCCTTGTCCATACAATGTATACATTCACACCTGCCCAGCCTTTTAGATCTCTCTGCTTTGGCTGCAGAATAATTGAAGGATATGTGAGCCCAAAGTGCTATTACCCCCACCCCCTCCTTGGATATTCACATACAGGCGGAAGAAACTCTTTGTGTTGCTGAAAACCTGACACTCCTCTCGCTCCTACGCTCCTACGCATGCTGCCAGGAGAATGAGACAGCCAACTCTGCTGGAGCTCAGCAAAGTGCTTCAGGGTGACCGGGCCCTCTAGCTCCAATCGGACTCACAGACCGCAGCCTGGAGAAGGGGATGCCAGCAGTGTTATTCCCTGGGGAATGAGCATTCCTTTCTGAAGGGGATCTCACTCCTTGCTGTGGGAAAAATAAACTGCACGAATGAGAGCATGTGAGAGTGCTCCTGAAGGGGGTAATATGTACCCTGCTGGCCTCACGGCATCCTCATCTGCATTTCATGGGCTCCTTTCAGGTGCTGATTGGCTGCATTGCCGGTTATCTAGTAGTGCCTGCCTCAACCAAGGGCTGGAAAGACTCTGGGCTGTGGGAAAAATTGGGAAGGGGGTGGGGAAGGGGCATGTGGATGGGCTTTGTACCAACCTGGGTGAGGAGGAGACACAGACTCCGAAAACTGGATGCTGCTGCCGCCCCAAGAAACCTGACCAAAGAGAAGGGAAGAAAAGGAATTGTACACACTGTAATACAGGGGAGCATTTTTCTGCATGCTGAGGTAAGTCAGGATTTTGCTTCAACCTATCTATGCAAGCCTTACTTAGCTCACGGCTGAGACATGGAAAACTTCCCTAGCATTGACAGAACAATATTAACGTGCATAACATGATTTTTCCCTGAGCCTGTAACGGCCCTGGAGGAGCACACCACCCCCCCAGTGTAAAGCCCTGGATACAGCACCTCGCTAGCGTGCTCTGAGTTATTACTGTGAATTCAGCAGAGCGGTGGCTGCCTTTGAAACTAACGTGTGTTAATTTTTAGGGCCATTAATTCCTCAGGGGAGGCATCCCAAGGGATTTGTAGGGATAACTATGATTGAGAATGAGTAATTAACAAATCGTGGCGATAACTCTTGAAACATGACTAAAGACAATTGCAGGTATCCCCATGGCTGGGCATCAGACTGGGTCACCGTGCTTGGTGTTGATGTCATTTGGGAACCAGCTCCGACATCGCTGCCCACTCTAACACATCTACGTGCTTCTGTGAAAATGGACAGTCTCGTGTTCTGAGGGATGCTGGAAGCTGGAGCGGACAGATCAATCTGCTGTAGGAACCTGACCTGCCAGAGAAGGAGAAAAACACCCCAAAAGCAACAGGGGTTCTGATGCTTGTTGTTTGGGACCAGGATTTTACTCTGCAAATACAAATACTGTTTTTTTTCCCTGAGTTTTAATTCACGTGGACTTCCACTTCATTTTCTTTATTCAAAATGTTCTTGAGTCAGTGGCTCATTTCCCTAGCAACAGCTTCCTATCACATCCCCATGCATTTAATTCATCAAATAGTGGCTATTCTGGGCTGAAAGTGCCTATAGGACTACCCCTCTTCTCTTTGGCTGCAGATGTGCAACAAGGCAGACAGAGCCATTCCACCAGCACCAGAAGGTTTCAGGTTTGGCTTTTTTCAGTACACGGAGGCAGCTTATCCTGCCGGCCTTAACTTCTGGGGCCTCTCCAGGACAACACAGGCTTTTTGCTAATCACAAAGGTAACCTCTTGCACTGCCACTTTTCACTTTTTCCTGTGTGGGCAAAACAAGCACTGTGTAAACTCACTGCAGGAAAGGAAAACCAGTTCGACGCAGCCGGTGATGCCTGGCTGCGATGAAGAGGCTGCTTCTGTTAGGGCTGGAGGGGAGGAGTGACCCAGCATTTCCAAAGCCCAACAATTTTGTGTAGTCTTCACACAGGCCTCCCTGCTTGTGCCTTGCAGGCTGATCAGCTTTTTGTGCAATCAGCTGCAACAAGGTACAGGAGGTGGGAGATCAAATCTGAAAACCATCCAAAGCTGTAATGTCATGAACCAGGAAGAAGTAATGATTTACCAACCTCTTTATGCAAAGCCCTAGAGTGGCTGGAGCTAGAAGGACTCCTACAAAGACTGGAAGAGCAAGTGAGAGAGAGTGTACACACGTGTGCATACACAGACACAGATCTCCAGCCCTTCCTTTAGAAGGGATGGGGCTAGGATCTGCCCAGGTGGTACTGAAAAACACTGGAGACCTGAGTTCAGTCAAGCACACTTGAAAATCATGCTAAGGAGTCCTAATGGAGCAGGATGGAGCCCTGCTTAAGGGGTCTTTGCCCATGCCTTGTTTTCTTCCGTTCTGCTAGCCAAAATTTGGGGCTGCTGCTAAGTCCCAAATTCCCAAACCTTCTCCACTGCCTGGGAGCTGCTGGAGGCACTGTTCCTCCAGCGCCTTCATCTTCTGATGCATCTAACTGAACAAGAGAAAGCCTCCAGGGGTAGGGGGTGGTTGAAAACAGTTTCCTGGGGGGTTGAGGCTTCTGGAAAAATGGGACATTAGGGGAGCTTTAGTGTGACAGAGCTTTGCACTGATCGCTCCTCAAAGCTGCACAGGTTGGATCAAAGGCATGCCCTAGGCATATGCTTCACCTGACGCTGCAAACCAGTTTGGTGCTTGCTTCAGCCCAGCCAGGACACATTTTAAATGGGGGCCGGTGACCATGGCCTGCCTTGCTCATCCAGCAGGATACTGGAGTTGCTGTGATAACTGTAAGGTGGACTGAAATTTGTCCGTGTGATCCTTCCATCCCAGAGTGAGTGATGTTTCTGGAGCATCATCTCTACTTTTTCCCTGCACTAATGGCTCAGACCATCAACTGCTGCAGTTACCCTGGCTGAACGTTCTTCTCCCCCATCCTCATGAGCCTACTATGCTCAGACTTTGGCAGTCTCCTTGGCTTTAGAGATTACAGTCTTGGCAAAAAAAGGATTAAGAAAGAAGAGACAAAGCAGACATCAAAACATTTTTACTTACTGCTGCACCGGTTGCTGCTTGTCGTGCTCTTCTCTGCTGCAGTAACTCCTTGACTGTAATCTTTACTCTAACACCTTGATACACCTTGGGCTTTCCTGAAAGAATTTGTGGAAAAAACCTTACAAGGCGGCTTTCAGAGCATACAGCAAATCCAGTGTGTTTTCAGGCATGCTCTACATGGAGTCTACTTAGAGTTAGCAGATGATTAACTGGTCACTGTTAAGTCACTTGTAATCACAGTTTATAGCCCTCTTTAACACCTGCTATTCAAACTTGTGACAAGCAGACATTTATTAAAAAGTTGGTATTGATTATGTTTAGTAATCATACGTGGTTTATTCTTTTCTATCTCATTCTTCCCCCACACACACACACCCCACCCTCCAGGTGTCCTAATACCAAGCTCCATCTGGTGCTACTGTTGAATGTATTTAAATTCCTATCATATTTGCCAGTCTTAGGACCTGAAAATAAATGCGGGAAGGACCTCATCTGGCAGATGAAAGCCAGAAATAAAACAATGGAAATATGTGGGCAGTTATTTAGAGAGCTAAACAAAACACAAATAAAATGCTTTCATGAATCACTTCTTGCAAAGCCTAGATTATCTTTTTGTTTTGCTAATTCTGTACAACTCCCACTAATTTCAAACAAGCATTTAGAATGGCTTTAATCCAGCCAAAACCAATCAGCAATCCCCAGTCACTACCTGATGAGAGATTTTTAGTACAGCAAATGGTAAAGAATTTACCTGTTCTGAAAAATCACTTTCACTTGCTGTACTCATGGTAAAATACTTAAAGCCTCTGGCAGTTCTGCTTCTGTCCTAACTTTCTGCTGTTGTTTTTATCCAGCAGCAGATCCTACAAACACTAGGGTCATCTCAATCCTGCAAGTCAGCTGTTCCCCAGTGGAGGCAGTTGGTTGCAAGTTCCCTGTACTATTGCTGCTGCTTGCAGCAAGAAGACAGTGCTGGATTTGTGGGTTCTGCCTGCATATTCCAAGAAATCCCACGCTGTAGGCACTGTCCTCTTCTGCTATAACCTCTCCCCATTGCTGATCTCGGTACAGCATCTTCACCCTCCTGCTGCCCCCTTGGTGCTGCGGTTGAGGACATGCTGTAACAGGCATACAGGTCCGTCCAGAAAGGTGGCAAGCTGAGCCGGGTCTGCCTCGAGGGAAGTTTGCTGAGCTGCGCTCTCAGCAGCTGGGGATTATTCATCTCATTTTTTTGTTTTGTTTCTATTCAACAAACTGAAGATGGGGAAAATGAGGGGAGGGAAGGGTCAATTTAACGAGAGCACCCTGTTACCAGGCCTCCCTATAGCCAGGGAGGGCTCTGAGCTAGCAGCCCCTTCTGCAAGTTTGGGTTCATGCTGCATACAGCTGCTTAGCTCTGGTCTGCATGGGTAGCTAGGGGCTGCACTATGAGCAGCTTAAAGGCAAACTAGCGGGTGAGGTATAGACACATTTATAACCCAGGGGCTGGCTATCAGGCAGCCCCCATCCCCAGCTCCCATAGCAGAGCACTGTGCCCCGAGGATCCTGCTTTTCTAGCACCCCGAGGCCCCAGCATGGCCTGCGTGCAAGCTGAAGCATCGAGAGCAGAGCTATGCAGCCAGCTCTCCCGAACTGGCCAGGCTGTGGATGGAAGGCGGGGGTGGTGAAGCTGGGGCTGGGGGTCAAGGAGCAGGGTGGCAAGGTTGGGCTGGCTGGGGGGCCACGCAGCGGGTGGTCAGGGCGGGCTGGGAATCGGGAACTGGGTGACAAGAGCGGGCCGGGGGCCGCGGT